GAGATGCAGGGGGGAGGAGGCGGGGAGGGGGGTTGGGACAGCCCGTGAGGTGGCTTGGATGGGGTCGATGGATGGGGAATAGACGTCATTAGTGGTCTCCCGGGCTTGAGTACAGAGCATGAAGGAGGAGTTTGGGCGGCTGAAGGAAGCCCTGGAGAAGTCGGAGGCCCGGCGGAAGGAGCTGGAGGAGAAGATGGTCTCCATGCTGCAGGAGAAGAATGACCTTCAGCTCCAAGTGCAGGCCGTGAGTGAGATCACCCCCACCCCCAAAACCCATGTCCAGGGGGTGACCCACCCCCCCCCTGCCCCGGGGACACCCTGCTTCACCCGCTGCCCTGACACAGGAGCAAGACAACCTGACCGACGCCGAGGAGCGCTGCGACCAACTGATCAAGAACAAGATCCAGCTAGAGGCCAAGGCAAAGGAGTTGACAGAGCGGCTGGAGGAGGAGGAGGAGATGAATGCTGAGCTGACGGCCAAGAAGAGGAAGCTGGAGGATGAGTGCTCAGAGCTGAAGAAGGACATCGATGACCTGGAGCTGACTCTGGCCAAGGTGGAGAAGGAGAAACACGCCACCGAGAACAAGGTGAGAGCGGGGAGGGGCCTCCACCTCAAGACAAGGAGGTTGGCATTGGGTTGGGTTGAGTTGAGGAGACTCAAGCACTGAGCAGGAGGCCTGGTGTTTCTTCTCCTGCAGGTCAAGAACCTGACGGAGGAGATGGCAGGGTTGGATGAGACCATCGCCAAGCTGACGAAGGAGAAGAAGGCCTTGCAAGAAGCTCACCAGCAAGCACTAGATGACCTGCAGGCAGAGGAAGACAAGGTCAACACCTTAGCGAAGGCCAAAGCCAAGCTGGAACAGCAGGCAGATGACGTGAGTGTGGGCCAGTGCCACCACAGGTGCTGCCAAGGAGCTTCCTGGGGCCGAAATGATGAAAAAAGCTGAGGTTTCTCCCTGTTTCTGTGGCTTTACACAGCTTGAAGGGTCACTGGAGCAGGAGAAGAAGATCCGAATGGACCTGGAACGGGCCAAGAGGAAGCTGGAAGGTGACTTGAAGCTGACCCAGGAGAACATCATGGATCTAGAGAATGACAAGCAGCAGCTGGAGGAGAAGCTCAAGAAGTGAGGCTGGGATCTCCCTCCCTGGCCCATGCCAGTCAGGGGGCGCAGGTTGGGACCTCAGCACTCTCTACCTTCCACTGCAGGAAAGAGTTTGAGATCCACCAGCAGAACAGCAAGATTGAGGACGAGCAGGCGCTGGCCCTACAGCTTCAGAAGAAGCTGAAAGAGCTGCAGGTGAGGGACCTGGTCTCGGCCTACTTGGGCTGGGTTGGAGATCCTCCAGTTGGTTGGGTTGCATTGAGTGGATGAGTTGATTTGAAGAGATTCCAGCTGGTTTGGTTGAGTTGAAGAGACTCACGCTGGTTGGGATGAGTTGAGTTGAAGATCCTCCAGCTGGTCAGGTTAGGTTGAGTGGATGAGTTGAGCTGAAGAGCCTCCATCTGGTTGGGTTAAGTTGAGTGGATGAGTTGATTTGAAGAGACTCCAACTGGTTGAGTTGTGTTGAGCTGAAGAGCCTCCAGCTGGATGAGTTGAGTCTTCAGCTGGTTGGGTTGACTTGAGTTGAAGATTTTCCAGTTGGTTGCATTGACTTATGTTGAGTTGGAGATTCTCCAACGAGTTGGCTTGGGCTGAGTTGAGCTGAAGAACCTCCAGATGGTTGGGTTGAGTTGAAGAGTCTCCAGTTGGTTGAGTTGAGTTCAGCAGCTGAGTTGTGTGGGGTTGAGCCTGCTGACAACCTCTCTGGCCCCAGGCGCGGATTGAGGAGCTGGAGGAGGGGCTGGGCGCAGGGC